CCACAGTATGTAATGAAACATCACAGTTGGGTGTTGGTGAGTCACAATACATAATTAAACATCATGGTTGGGTGTCTGTGAGCCACAGTATGTAATGAAACATCACAGTTGGGTGTTGGTGAGTCACAATACATAATTAAACATCATGGTTGGGTGTCGGTGAGCCACAGTACATAATTAAACATCATTGTTGGGTGTTGGTGAGCCACAATACATAATTAAACATCATGGTTGGATGTCGGTGAGCCACAGTACATAATTAAACATCATTGTTGGGTGTTGGTGAGCCACAATACATAATGAAACATCATGGTTGGGTGTCGGTGAGTCACAATACATAATTAAACATCATGGTTGGGTGTTGGTGAGTTCACAATACATAATTAAACATCATGGTTGGGTGTCGGTGAGCCACAGTACATAATTAAACATCACAGTTGGGTGTTGGTGAGTCACAATACATAATTAAACATCATGGTTGGGTGTCGGTGAGCCACAATACATAATTAAACATCACAGTTGGGTGTCGGTGAGCCAAAGTACATAATTAAACATCATGGTTGGGTGTCAGTGAGTCACAATACATAATTAAACATCACAGTTGTGTGTCGGTGAGCCACAGTACATAATTAAACATCATGGTTGGGTTTCGCTGAGCCACAGTACATAATTAAACATCACAGTTGGGTGTCGGTGAGTCACAATACATAATGAAACATCATGGTTGGGTGTCGGTGAGTCACAATACATAATTAAACATCATGGTTGGGTGTCGGTGAGTCACAATACATAATTAAACATCATGGTTGGGTGTTGGTGAGTCACAATACATAATTAAACATCACAGTTAGGTGTAGGTGAGTCACAATACATAATTAAACATCATGGTTGGGTGTCGGTGAGCCACAATACATAATTAAACATCACGGTTGGGTGTCGGTGAGTCACAATACATAATGCACCCAACCATGATGTTTAATTATGTATTGTGACTCACCAACACCCAACTGTGATGTTTTTACTTTTATAATAATAAATAAAGAATAAATATGAAAAACAAGAAATAAAGTACTTACCCAATCTTTTTTCTTACTCTTGATTTTTTATATAGTACTAATAGTAAAGCACTTAATAATTTTTACTTAATTAAATAATGCACCAAAGAATATTGACTAACATGTATAAGTAGATAAATTCACTTAACTCTCAAAATTTTACTGGCTTTCTAACTGTGCGACAAGAGCTGTTACACATTCAACAAAGCTAGTCGTTAACTTTCCCAGGAACAATGTTGCTACTCCGAGTGAAATTGACGATTATCTGTTCAGAACACAATGTTATACAATACATCATTTGATAGATGAAAACCTTGAATTTATATCAGTTATAGGTAATATATATAATTAAACACAAGAGAGAACTATCAATGAATTCTGAAAGAGAGGATGTGACAGGTGGGTGTGGCAGAAGGAGTCTGATTTTCTATTGGATAACTCTGTAACCAAACAAAACAGAAGGCTATAAAATTATGGTTTGTCTGAGCAATGACGATTTTATAGAGAGTAATTTACATTTAATTTCGTACTTTTTCAAGAGGTGATGGATAAAATAGGGATGATGACACGCTAAGAGAAAATGTGTCATGTGGGTCACACTAGTGGAAATTCAGGATTTTTTTAAATATAGCCTTGTAGAATTAAGAACTTAAAACTTGTATACTATGAAAATATGAATTATTACCTAACATTTTATGCTATTCTAATTTGTATAACATAAACAAAAAGTAGTTTATTAAAATTTTGAATGTAAGACACTAAAACCTTGTGTCATGCTCAGTAAAGGATATCTGGGATGATAGGGTTAATGACAAACTGATTGCAAAAACTAAAGCAACAGTATCAAAAACTCACCTTTTTCATTTGATAAAGTTCATCTTAAGCTAAATGACAAAAAAATACATTTAATTATATTTTGTTTCTTAAAATTTGAAAGTTAATTTTTAACATGTAGTAGAAAAACAACAATTCAAACAAGCATTTAGTATTGTGAGATCATGGAGATTAGAACTTAAAATTAACAGTGGTTTTGGATTATGTATAGTAATCGCAATGTTCAACTCATA